AAGGGATAACCAACCAAAGGTTCGGGTCTCTCGCGTTGGTGACGGCCGTCTTGAGGATGGTCTTGGCCAGCACTGCACTCGACTCCATCCACTTCTTCCGAACACCATGCTGCACACACACACACACACACACACACACAGACAGAGTGTGCTGCCTGTCCCGGCCGGCTGCCCCAATGCTCGCTCATTCACTCGCCCACCCACGCACCTGTATGAGTGCCTTGTGCGGCTGCAGGACCGCCTCACTGTCATCGTCACTCAGCTCTTCGTCCGCACGGGCCGCCGTGTCGGGCGGCACAAACACGGGCTTCGGCCACACATCCTGACCTGCACAAACACAACACATATACACACACACATGAGTATCAAGGGAGATCTGATCTCTGTCTGCCTTTCTGTGTGTGTGTGTGTATGCTGCGCCAGAGGCTGACCTCTGGCATTGACGGCTGCGTGTACGTGGCGCACAGAGCGCACAGAGCGGCCCAATGAATGGCCGCAGCAGCACGGTGCACCGACGATGGACATTGATCAGCCGAATGGATGAGTGCTGCATGAGTGAATCATCTCGTCAGCAGCAGCGGTTTCGGGCAGCACCCTAGGCGGCCTGAATCTATCTCGTCGGAGCATCTATCTCTGAGGACACTGCGAGCTTAGCTCAATTGCGAGCTGGAGAGATCTGAGAGACCAGTTCTGCCTATCGGCAGGCAGCAGCAGCAGCAGCAGCAACAGCAGCAGCAGTAGAAGCAGCGTCAGCGCCGCTGTTTGTGAGATCTTCATCTTCATCTCTGACCGGCCCGCATCTCCACATCATACAAATCTCATGGGCACAGTGGATCATGGCGCACACACCTACACCTACACCGCCACGGCTGTCAGCAGCAGGGCATGTGTGCGGCCACCAATAACACAGCACCAACACCAGGAGCAGCACCAGCAGAGGCGGGCTTGCTCGTCGTCATCGGCAACTTCTTCTTATCCACCAGCTCGAAGGAGAAGGAGGAGGCGGCCATGTCCGTGTGTGCCGCTCGTGCTCGTGTGCGTGTGCGTTGGCATCATCGCGCGGGCGTCGTGTTTTCTCATTCCGCCCTGTGTTGACGTGGATGTGCGGCGGAGTCGTCAGCCCTTCCCGCCTTGGTCGACATTCCAGTCCCGCCGGCCACACCCAAAGACGTATCGGGGGGCGTTTCCTGTGGACCATGCCTCCACGCTGATGGTGGACTTCATGACGGTCACCAACGTCATGAAGCAAATCGCTACAAAGGGCGGCGGAGGTGCGCTGAGCCGGACAGACAGACACAGACACACGCCTCGCTTCGCACGTTGATATTTCTCTCTCTCTCTCTCTTTGTGTGTGTGTGTGTGTTTAGGTGCGAGTGTGTTGGGTTTGGTGGCCATAGCGTACGTCATCAACGAGATGAGCCGCACACACACCCCGTCAGCGGGGCTCTACGGCCCCACACACCAAGACCAAGACATGATCGACCTACACCAGCACCCAGGCACACGCACAGGTCCGTTGTGTCAGCGGAACACACCAAACCACACACACAGACACACGCTTCCTTCCCTGTGTGTGTGTGTGCTGTGTCTAGGCCCTTCCTATGACCCGCTCGCCGCGAATGTGACGTCACTGAGCAGCAGACAGATCTCTAATGGCAATGGCTACGGCAACACCAGCAGCAGCAGTACTGGCGTCGGTGGTCCGAACGGCTTCGACGCCGAGAGCGTCCGTCGGTGGCTGAGGGAGGGAGACGACCCTAACCTGCCACGCAAATATGACGTGCGCAGGGAGGGAATACCCCCACACACGCATACGCAATAGTTAGTGCCTCACGATGTCTGTCTGTGTGTGTCTGCCGTCTGTCGTGTGCAGGTGGGTGCGCTTCGGGCGCACTACTCTCGCAAGCCGCGCATGGTGGCGAGCCGCGTCATGTCGGTGGGCGGCAAGTCCATGAGATTTGTGTGGCAGCTCCAGCAGGTACCCCGTGCGGGGGATACATCTGGATGGATGGATGGATGGATGGATGGATGTGTGTAGGACATATCGTCCAAGAGGTGGGATGACAACATGGCGATGCGCGCCGTGCAGCTGAGGGAAATGGTGGCTGACCTCGGTCCAGCCTTCATCAAAGTCGCACAGGGTCGAACGAAGAGCAACTGACCAAGCTCATACCAACGTGACGCGCAGACACCCCACCCTCATGTGTGTGTGTGTGTCTGTGGATTGCGTGTGTGCAGGTCTATCAGTGCGTCCCGACATCCTGCCCTCCCTCTATGTCAATGAGTTTCAGCAGTTCCAGGACCGAGTCAGGCCGTTCCCCTCAGGCAACCACACACACACACACACAGCCACGACACACACATCCACACACGCTTCCGTGTGTGTGCATCTCTCTCTCTGCGCAGATTTGGCCATCGCCATCTTGGAGAAGAACCTCGGCGGCCCCATAGAGCAGTTCTTCACCGACAGAAAGGCATTCAGGTCAGCAGCTGCCCAACCCCCCACACACGAACAGATGCATGTCTGTCTGTCTGTCTGTCTGTCGGGGCACCACGCGCACATGTGCGGGTTTGGTGTGCGTGTGTGTGCAGGGCTCCCGTGGCAGCGGCGTCATTGGGTCAGGTTTACAAGGCCGAGTGGCGGCTGCCCAACGGCAGGACCAAGCAAGTGGCCGTCAAGGTCCAGCGGCCGGACCTGCTCAGCCGGTGCTCCCTCGACCTTTTCGTCATACGAAGGGTGCGGTGCGCGCGTCTGCACACCCAGGCCAGGCAGATCCATCCATCTGTGTGTGTGCGGGGCGGGGGAATGTGAATGTGTGAAGGGTTTGGAGGTGACGATGCGGATCGTCCCCGGCCTCAAGAAGAAAGCGGGGTCCATTATCGGGGTGGTGGACAACGCCGGGAAGCGGTTCATCGACGAGCTCGACTACAAGCGCGAGGCGGCCAACCAGGAGAGGTTTCGGTCGTTCGTGCAGGGGAACGCGCTGCTGGGAGGGTCAATAGTGGTGCCGGAGGTGTATAATGCCACTCAGCACGTCCTTGTCTCAGAGTGGATCGACGGTATACTCTCTCTCACACACACACACACATACACACACACAAACCTCTGGCATGAGCCCCCCCACATGTGATGGGTGTGCGCTTTGGTGTTCAGGCAGCAAGTTCAGCGACCTGAAGGAGGAGGCCAAAGACCCGCAGAAGCGAGCCTCATCGTCAGTTCCGCTCACCTCCCCCCAGCCACACACATACACACACACGCACACACACACACAGACAGAGAGAGAGAGAGAGAGGGCATGTCCAGTGAGAAGAACGAGTCGTGTCCTGGATGGATGGATGGATGGCTGCAGGATGTTGCTGGTCAAGGCTTTGGTCAACTGCTATCTCGTGCAGCTCCTGGAGACCGGTTTCCTGCACGCCGACCCGGTGAGCAAATGAAGGAGTGACTGAGTGAGAGGCTGACACACCCTTCCCGTGTGTGTGTCATTCTCTGACATATTCTGGAAGCACCCGGGCAACTTCTTGCGGACGCCGGACGGCCGCTTGTGCATGCTGGACTTTGGCCTGGTCACGGAGATCGAGGAGGACCAAAGGCTCGCACTGGGTGGGGTGAGAGAGATAGATAGACTAGACGGCACACACACACCCCATATTCTCCCATTGTGTCTGTAGTCGAGTACGTTGCGCATCTGTCCGCCAAGGACTACAATGCCACCCTGGGGGACCTCTGCAGACTGGGGTTCATTCCAAAGGAGGTCCGCAGCTATGCCAGACAGACACACCAAAGTCTCCCTACCTGCCCGCTTGAGACGCCTTCCCCTGTGTGGTGTGTGTCTGTCGACATAGGTCTATGAAGACCCGCAGATGAGAGACGACGTCCTGCCGCTGGTCAGCCACCTCGTCGAGACTTTCCACGAAGTGAGCCCGTCACCTCAGCAGAGAAGCAGGCCCCATGTCACAACAGGCCGGCGTCTGTCCCTCTCTCTCTCTCTCTCTGTGTGTGTTTGTGTGTGTTTGTGTGTGTTTGTGTGTGTTTGTGTGTGCGTGTGTGTGTAGGGCGGCACCGAGTCGATGAACATCGAGAGCATGGGCCGGGAGCTCGAGCAGCTCACCAAGCAATACACTATGAGGGTGCCTGACTACTTTGGCCTCATTCTCAGGTGGGCCACACACATCCCACAACCCCATACCCAGAATGCGTCAAAGCCATCTCCCTCTCCCTCGCTCCCTCTCCCTCTCCACACACACGTATACCTGTCTGCAGGGCGTTTGGTACGCTTGAGGGTCTGGGTCTGACGGTGGACGACACCTTCCAGATCACCGAGGAGTGCATGCCCTACCTCGCCAAAAGACTCCTCAGCGACAACACCGTCCGAGTGCGGGAGGCGCTGCGCTCCTTCCTCTACGGCACCGACGGCGTGCTCCGGGTGGGTGAGCCTCCAATAAGAGAGAGAGAGATAGTAGTGCATCTATCTCTTCTGTGTCGGTGCGTGCAGGCGGACCGTGTGCAGAAGTTGATTGACGGGTACACGTCTTTCACGCTTGATGTGACGGGGCTTGAGCGGGATATGGCGGCGGCAGAGTCAGCACCAAGCGGAGAGGGGGGCAGGGCGGCCGCAAACAGGAGGGGGCAAAAGGTGAGTAGCGCCACACTCACAGTCACACCCACACCTACCTCACGAGCCATCCACCTTTGTGTGGTGTGTGTGTTGAAATAGAGGAATGAAAGGCCGATCGAGGTGCTGCGGAAGAGCAAGGCCATCGAGGAGGGCGACCCACCACCACCGCCCGAAGACCAGGAAGAGGACGATGCTGACGCAGCAGACCACATCCATGTCGACGAACAGGGGTTAGCCCCCCACCACCGCTCCCCCTCCCCCTCCCTCCAACCCACCGCTTCATGTGTGTCTTTGGCAGGTTTGCGATTCAGCGCAAGAAGATCACACCCATTATGCACTACTACCCCTCCGAGCACTCCAACAACGACACACTCACAGCGGCCGGCAAAGGCAACACCACCACCGTCAGCGCCACAAGGGCCATGGCGGGCAGGAGGAGACCGAGGAGAGGGGGGCTGACCAAACAGGCGGAGGAGATGCTCAAGCTCGTCTTTGCACCGGAGGGCAACTACATGCAGGTACGTCGCGGACAGACAGAGAGACAGAGAGACGAGACGTGGGTTGGCATGGCACCTGCCCTGCAGGAGTTGATAGTGGACGAGATGGTCCGGCTGACCGACGCATTGGCCCGCACCGTGACGGCAGTGCCTGCAAGGGCAGTGAGGATGATCACGGGGCTCTTCCCGGCACCCTTTTCAGGTGCCAACACACACACACGCACACACACACACACACACAGAGAGAGAGGTCGTGTGCACGTGTGTGTGGTCTGTGTATTGTGTGTGTGTGTCGATTTGGTCAGATAAGCGCAGCTGGCTGGCCAATCTGATCCTGCTGCCTTTGCTGCCCGTCACTGCACCGATCGGCGTTGTCAACGCGTTGTCCAGCAGAGTCGAGCAGATGACCACGTACGCGCCCACACATCACACACACACACACACCACACTCTCTCTCTCTCTCTCTGTGTGTGTGTGTGTATGTGTGTGCGGCAGTCTTGATGAGGACGACCTGCGGGCGTTGCTCTCTGCCCGGGAGGTGCTGCTGACCATCCTGCAGCCCAACACATCCCCACAGGTCGACGAGCGGACCAGGCGGAACCTCATGAGACGATTCGTGCGCCTCGAAGCCCTTCTACGGATGCAGGCACGTCCTTCCACCCCCCCAGGCACCCATCCATCCATCCATCCCTCCCTCCATCCCTTGCATGTGTGTGTGCAGGCGGCGATGAGTGCGGTGTCGCCCGGAGTGCCCAACATGGCGGGGCAGTTTGCCTCCAAGCTGACGTCTCGCGTGATGCGGCGGACGGTGGGGCGGCTGAGGCGAACAGGCGGGAGAGAGAGCGAGGGTGGTGACGTGGCGGCGCTGCAGCAACAGGTGCAGGGGAGTGATGACGGAAAGACTGCTGATGAGAGGGAGAGGGAGAGGGGAAGGGGCAGGGCGAGACAGAGGGAGAGGGAGAGGGAGGGCGCTAAGGTGTCGTAGACAGACAGACAGACAGGGTGTGTAGGCGTCTGATGCATGGAATTGCACGTCTGATGAGATGAGGGTGTACAGAAAGCACATGTGTCGGGTGCCCGTGTGTGTTTTTGGTGTGTGTTGTCTTGTGTTGAGCGGAGGGAGCGCCGACACAGGCTGTGTAGGGGCGGGGCGGGGCGGGGCGGGGGGGAGAGAGGGCTTCATGAATCGCAATCAGTCGTATCATCGACCATCGCTGGCTGGCTCGGCGACCATCAAATGAGACGGCTGACAATGAGGTCGGGTGAAAGCTCTCACAGACGGAGGGAGATAGCCACACAGGAGAGGAGGACGGAGGGAGGGAGGGAGGGAGGGAGGGAGGGACATGCACACGTTTTGATGGCTATATTTGCACGGGGATGCATAACCCCTGTGTGCTTATGTGTGTATGGGATGGGTGTAAGGCCATCTCGACCGAGCGGACGGAATGGCTGGCCGATTCTCTCGCTCTCTGTCTCTGTCTGCTCGCGTCGTACGCACTTGCCGTCAGCAACACATTAATTGATGTGCCTGCCGACAAACATACCACTCTCCCCGCCGCTGACTCCCCTTTGCTCCCATGTCTGTCTCACTGTCTGTCTGTCCGTCTAGCTCCCCGCGTGTGAGTCGTGTTGTGCTGGGTCGCGTGGGCCTCGTGTCTACCTCCCTGCGTCTCTGTATGGCGGTCGCTTACGAACGAACTGGGGGAATGTACATATCTGTCTGTATGGGTGCAGTGCACTGGGGGGTTGGCTGAGTGATAGAGCATGGGTTTGGTTGCATCAATCAAAATGGATGGATGGATGGATCTGTGATGGTTCTACCAGTCATTCATGCAGCACATACACACAGAGAAAGCTCTGCACGCACACGCTGTCCCTTCGACCGCACGCGCTACCGTCAGCAAGTACCCAACGCGACACGCAGCCACACCGCCTGGCTGCCAGCACACCACCTGCACAAGATCCATCAGCACACAGGAACTCACATATGCACACGCGCCATCTTGTCATTCATTGTGAGTTGGTTTCACCTTCATGGCGCCTGGCCGTCGAGGACGATGGGTGCGATGGGCCCGAGGGCGCGGCGCACCATGGCGGCCGTCAGGGGGAATCGCTGGGCGAAGGGCGCATCATGAGCCACTCCTGCTGCTGCGGCCTCGGTGGTAAAGATGCCGACGGCTGCTGCATGCAGACAAGAGCAGAGCAGATGATCAGGCGACACGACAGCATGAGGATCTGCTGTACATGTGTATCGTACCGCTCTGGTTGTTGCCTGGTTGGATGACAAAGTACATCCCTGCGATGAATGGGTCGTCCGACATCGTCAGCACATGCGACTGCGCACAGCTCCCATCGGCCAGCTCCCATGGCATCACGTGTGAGCATCCGTCGAGGGGCGTGTGCAGCGATTGGGTCATGATGCGGTCGCCACGCACACGCCTGACACACACATCCATGTTTGAAACAGAGCGTGAGCGACCTGCCATTGCCTGTCGTCCATCCACTCACTGGTCCACCACCACCGTCGGCGAGTTGGAGAAGCCGCCCACAGCCAACTCCCGGTAAACCAGCAGCAGCCTCTTCAGCACGGAACTCGCCGATGCGTCAACGGGCCCGTTGTTGATGCCAACCGTCACCCACCCTACCCCCTGCTGCCACAGAATGCGGCTGCTGACTGGGGGGTCGTGTGGCTTTGCGTGCTGCTGGAAGGGGTGCTGCGAGAAGGGGTGGACGGGGCGGGTGGGGTGGGGGAGGGGCGGGTTGAGTGTGATGGTGAAGCCGGGCTTGTTGCGGATGATCCGGATATCGTTGTTATGGCGGAACAGCTGGAGTGTGCCGTCTTGCTGGCCAGTGGGGCGACGGAAGACGACGTGGCGGCCGACGAGCATCCACTGCGCAAACACACGGGGCAGCGCCAAGAAGTCCTGCATCCAACACACCCACATCCGCACACACACATCCAGCAGCTCACCGATTGCCTCTCCTGTGTGTCGTGCTTACCGCCTTGGTGGCGTATGTCTGCAGGTCTCCAGCACCCACAGTGACCGGCAGCTGACAGTGGCCGCACTGCTCGCCCACTCGGAGTGTGTCGCCCACCTCCCCCCAGCCGCCCTCGCCCCCCTCCTCCACCACCCACATGGCCTTCATCACATCGCCGTCGCTCAGCTGATCGTCGAACTGCACCACACCGCTAACCCCCGCCCGCTCGATGGCCTTCGGCAGCCGAAAGCGGCGGGCGATCGGCCGGAGGGCATTTCTAATGGGTCGGGCTGTTGACTTGAGGTGGGCGACGGCGGTGAGGTCGGACAGTGCCAGGACGACGCTCATGGGGCTGTCGGGAATGTCAGTCAGGTGCAATGATGTGGCCTGACGACAGACAGCAAACAGACACACACGCAATGCATATGGCAGCTCGGTGTGTGTGTCAATTTGTGTGCCTGCGTGTGGTCGATCACACACCTGCACGTGGCCATCGGCATCTTTGCCATGTGTAGCAGAATCGCTCACGCCATCACCTGCGACACAGACAACGACACAGACACACACAAGGCCGTGTTTGTGTGTTGGTGTGCCATTCTCCCTTAGGTATATATCGGCTCACCCTCGTGTGTTGTCTGTGCGATGGCGGTCTCTATGGTCTCTGCCAGCTCGGCCAGATGGTCGGACACAGCAGCGAGCTGCCGGTTCACTCTGGCCACCACCTGAGGAACGAATCAACCACACGAGAGCAACACCAACCGCAGCATGACAGAGGCCATTGTGTGGTTGTTGTTTGTGTGTGCTGCTTGGCACCCTGCAGGCGCCCACCTGTGCTGTCAGCTGAGTAGAGTCCATCTGTGAGAGCGTGTGATCTGTGTGTCGACCTGCACGCGCACATGGACAGCAGACAGAGCAACCAAGCGGCCGGTGAGGGACGGATGCATTGAATGGATGAGTGAGTGAGTCACTGCGGTGGTTGGCTAAGTACCTGAGTCTGGTTCATCTGAAGGCATGCTGTGATCAGAGGCGTGAACTCTCGCTGCGGCAGGAGCTGCTCACGCACACGCAACGCAATCATCTGCACAACGTAACATCAACCACAGGGCGACGTCCACAACAGCACCGCACAGACGGTGCATGCCATAACGCACGTGCTTCCCTTCTCGCTTTGATTGGCCCACAGGCTCCGGCCTCTTCTCTCACCCGAGTTTGACTGACGTCCATATGGTCAAGATGGCGTGAATCACGCAAGAGAGAACGCGCCCACACTCCACCCTTTAAGTTTGAGCTCGCAGCATCGGATCGGAGGAGGAAAAGCGACGCGAGGCGGACACAATCGACCCTTGTGCACCATCGAGGGGCGTCTTAGGCCCCGTATTGTGCTTGATACGTCGCAAATCCATGGGTTGGTTGAGAAGCATCCCCCTGGCCAGGTACAATAGTACTACGCAGTGTAGCGCAGAGAGAAGGCCAATTCACCATCGGTGCCGCCCTCGTGTGCCGCCTGCTGTCTGTCTACAGTACATGTGTTTTGGGGTCAGTGTCCATGGGAGGGGAGGGCTGTGTGTAGGTTGGTTCTGTCCATCGTCTTGCACTCTCTTCGGTCTGGTGGATGGATGGAGGCATTACATTTGTCTCTGAGAAGAGAGCTGAGCTGTGGGCACAGCGACTCCAACATATATATGTATAACGCTTTTGTGTCTCGGTGTGTGTCTGGTGGTGTGTGTAAGTAATTGTGCACGAGCATCAATGTCCACCCACAGGTTCATTTCTTCTTCTTGGGGGCCCCTGCGGCCTGCTCAGGCATCTCACAGAAGAACGACACCACACGCCACTCAGCCACATCGGGCAACGGACCTGCACACAGACACAGACAGCCATCCACCCAATGCACCCACCCCGTCTGTGTGTATGTGTCTCCTTTTGACGCAACAGAGCATGTATTCGCTGACGTCTCGTGTTGCAGTTGGCGAGCGCCACATGGGTGTTCTTGCTGGGCACACTGATCTCAACGACCTGCACACGTGCACACAGCCACCTGACTGCTATGATGTGTGGTCCCATGGGTGTGCCATCTCCTCTCCACCTGCCCGCAGCCCACAAACTGCTTCGCTCGGATTTGGGAAGCGGCTTTAAGAGAGAGAGAGAGAGAGAGGCGGACACAATTTGACATTGATCACATGTTTCTCAGTGTGTGTCGGGTGGTACAAGTGTGCGTGGCGTCGTCTTTGGCCCTGAGCACGTGGATCTCCCTCTCCTCCTCAGGCGAGGAGCAGAGAGCTGCCACACCATCAGCGCGGAGACTCTCCTGCACACACAAGAACACCTCATGTATGTTCCTCTCTTTGCAAGCGTACTTGTGTGGGGTAGGGAGGGGCGAAGACGGCCGTCGAGTGATCGCCCTGCGGGTGTGGCTCATCTGCCCCCTCTCCCTCCGCTGGTGGGTTGGGCAGCAGAAAGCCATCGATCGGCTGGCCCTGACATTCATGTGTGACAGAGAGGGCCACAGAATGCCAGCCAGACTCATGTGTATTTCGTGTGTCTTTGTGTGTGCTTGGGTGGGTGCCTGTGTGAGAGCGTCGTTGATTCTTTGGAGTGCCTGGAGGGCAGAACCGCCCCAGGTGGATGTGTACGACTGCAGGCAACACACACACATGCAATAGACACCGATCAGCAGGGAGGTGTCTGTTGCGTCTCTGGTCCTACAAACCTCTTCAAAGTCGCCCTGCAGGCTCTGCTGCCGGTCGTAGTTGGAGTCATACGCACCTGTGCCCCACACCACAAGCATGTGCAGCACACACACACACAAACACGCGTGCGACGTACCTTGTGTGAAGACCCCCTCAAAAGTGGACATCTGCGCCGCCTGTGGCAGCGTCTTGAGCGTCAGTCTGCCCCAGCCGTCCATCGCCCCATTGGCAAATGTGCCCTCGTAAGTCTTCCCTTCAGGCCACGTGTATATCCCCTGCACACACAACGAGACACGTGGCTGCAGTAAGGTGAGGTGAGATTTATCGCATGCTCTGCTCTCACCTGTCCGTGGAATGCGTTGTGGTAGAACTGCCCCTCATACGACGCCCCGGACTGGAAGGCATATCGGCCATGCAGCAGGTCGCCCTCATTCCACTCGCCCTCCAAGAACTCACAACCTTGTGCGAGTGTTCCCTTGCCGTGGTACTCCTTGACGCCGTCCACGGTGCGGTACTCCCCGACATACACTGAACCGCTCTGCAACACACGATGCAGAAGCCGTTCATCCCATTCAATGACATATGTGCCGTCTCACTTGAGGTCTCAAGTGACTCACCGGCAGCTTCAACTCGCCACATTTGTGCTCTACGGCTGGTGGGGGAGGGGAGGGAGGCGCCTCCTCCGATGCGACCGCCTTCTTAGGAGCCATTGTCCGCTGGCACAACCTGAGACGGCATGCATGCGGCCCCCAAACACGCCCCCACGTCGGCAACTTGAAGGTTCAAGTTGTGAAAGGAGAGGACTCATGGCTGCCGTGCCGCACTCCACCCCCTACTCCCAGCAGCCTGTTGCCGACCCCATCTCCCCTGTTGGCTCACCGACAAGCGACAGAATAAATGAAGGGTCCCTGCCGAGGCAGCTGAGGATATCGCTGCCCGACGTGCCGCTGACGGAGGCCATGATGGCCATGGAGTACAAGAGGGCCGCGTCGTCACCCCGGCTGGCCGCACTATCGCCCAGGCGGCACTCTCTCATACCGTGAGCCAACATGGATACAAAGACGCACACAGGAAGGCATGCAATGCACTTTGCTCTCAGCGATGCCTTGTCGGAGTTGCTGCCTCGCGAAAGGCTGGAGGCCGCCAGGCTGACCACTTGGGTGGAGCGGCTGATTCCCGAGCCCCGATTCCAACAGGCGCTGCTGGCTGCAGATGTGGTGGAACAGGTGCGTGTCTGTGGATGCGCCGCATGGGTGTATCTTTGTCGGCTCGTATGGTCCTCTCTCTGTGCAGGTGTTGGTGTACCAGGTCGCCTTGTTGATACTGCTCTTCCTTCGTGTCAAAGCCCACCTGCAGGGCGGCACTTCCGTAAGCCCCAAAAGGGGGACTGCCTGCCTGCACCTGTCTCTACCTGCGTGGCCCACATGTCAGTCAGAGGCCGACAGTGCGTCGTCTCACAGGGGCGCTGGTGACGATGAGAGCAGGTCATTTTCGCCTGAGCCGGCAACACGCTCGCCGCTCCGCGTGGGGCTCATCGGTGTGGGGCGCGTTGGAGGGCTGATACTCAGATACCTGAGACATGCTGGTGCGAGAGATGGAATAAATCCCTGCGCCTGCGTGTCTGAACTGGGAGATTCTTGGTCGTTTGGCCTGTGCAGAGCTGCTGCCGTCGCCGAGGTGCCTAGCTGTGTCCACACGGAGGGCAGACGAGCTGCGGGTGAGATGGGGAGGGAGGGAGGGAGGGAGGGAAGGGCCTGCCCGGGTGCTCTGCTAGTTCCTCACGGTTTTTGTCCTGTCTTGCGTCTGTGGTAGGGCAGCCCGCTGGTCAAGGGTCTGCACCTCTGTGTCTTTGACAACGCCAAGGTGGCCGCATTCGCTGACCTGCTGAGTAAGCCAGCCAACCAGCCAGCCGGATGCATTGCCTACGCGCATCTGTGAGGTGATCCCTCTCCCCTTTCATCAACGCACACAGTTGTCGCCGTACCTCCCTACCAACTGGACGCAGTAAGCCTCAAATGCACACAAGGGGAGAGACACAAGGTCTGTGTCTGTGTCTGTCATCAGGTGTCCATCGACCTCCGTGGGTCTCTCCGCAAGGGGACTGTGGTTGTCAACCTGGCGGCAGGGACACCCAGGAGAAAGTCTCAGGTGCTCTTCGACCCCGCATATGCCCTCCGCCCGTTCGTCGACCTGGCCGATCCGCGCGTCAGCGACACACCCATGGAACACCCCATCGGCAGCTTCCTCAGGGGCGTGCTCGTTGAGGTATACGCCCATTCGTGACCACGTCGATGTGCACTCACGTTGTGTCTCTGTGTGTGTGTAGAATCGATCGGCTGCGAGCATTGTGGGCGGCAAGATGGCCCACACTGTCAACAGGAAGCTGCTGCAGAAGAGCAAGGCCCTGGCGGCCGCATTCCTTGCCGGTAGGTCGGTCCGGTGGGGGGAAGCGGCCAGCAGGCTTTCTCTCTCATCCAGCCAACCATTGAGCAGGCAGTCACTGTGGTGCTGTACGTGTGTTTTGGTGCAGGCAGTGACGAGACGCTCATCAGCTTTGGGGAGGCACTCATGGGGCACTGCGAGGTCGCTAACACCAACGACATCAAGTCAGGCAGACAGACACACACACACACAGAGAGAGAGAGAGAGAGACAGGTGTCCGCCCTTCTGTCTGGCCGTGTGACCACAGGTACGTTCGATCGGCATTGATGAGCCCTTCTCCTGCTGCCAGTAGTACTACCCACGACCAGCGAGCCTCCCCCGACGCGGCACACGAGGCTGAAGGCGATGATGGTGAGAGTTTGTGGCACTTCACGCAGGAGGAGAGGCTGAGGTTTGAGCGGCAGTTTGTCGAGTTGGTGCCCACGATTGACCCTGAAGTGCTGCTGGACTGAGCGTGTGCGTGTGGGTATGCGTGTGGATCTCTATGTGTCTGTCGGTCGGAAGATTGGTGTGTGTCGACTGACTGCACAGGCGCTTTCCCCTCAGTTGACTCGTTGCTTCAGCGGTATAGGTGCGCTCGTGTCTCTTTTGTCCAATGGCAGCCAGTCAGCCCCAGAACAAACAAACCAGACGAATGGTCAGACAGACAGACAGACAGACAGATAGACGGACAGCGGGTCACTGCAGGCAGGCAGGCAGGCAGGCAGTCGCGCGCCCACGCATGGCTAGAGAGGTGCACTGCACTTGGGGCTCTGTGTGTGTCACGCGTGTGCGGTGTGGGTGCCGCTCATCTCATCCATCGATGGCCCTCTCTTCGCCAAGGCAATCAATGCCCGCATCTATCTGCTGCCACCCTGCCGGCCACGCCATGCCACGCCATTCCATCCATTCACACACACACACACACGCACCAACAGACGACGGACAGGCAGACGCTATACACACATCACACATCGGCCACAGACACCACCCGGTCAGCCAGCCACTCCCCTCTCCCTCTCCCTCTCCCTCTCCCCCCGGTCCTTTCCTTATCTTTATCCATCCATCCATCCGGCCAGCGATGGCTACGTGCTGGCAGCCGAATTGCATGTAGTCACGATGAAGGCAGGCACACAGGGAGGCAGGGAGGGAGTATCCAGAATGGGACAAAAGCAAAGTTGGAGATGTGGGGGGGGGGGGGGGGGGGGGGGGG